AAGAGGCGGGGCGCGCACAGGGAGAGGAGGGCCAGTGGGCGGGGCGTGCAGAGGGCGAGGTGTTCGGAGGGAGGGAGAGGTGACCAGGAGGACCAGCGTTCGGTAGGCAAGGTGCCTAAGGATCCCGGCGAGAACCGGAGGGAGAGTCAATGTGAGGGGCAGGGCTTGCAGAGGCAAACGTGAGACTAGAGGCGGGGCATGTAGAGGGCGTGTAGAGGGCGGAGCACCCCAGAGAGTGACGTGGCTACACACCGGCTCCCCTAATCGCCTAGCTGCGCGACCGCGGCCTGAACAGTCTTCCCGAGTGCGGCGGGCGTGGTTTGCTGTGGGCCACTCCCCAGCAGCGGGCGAAGGTGAACCTGCTACTCCCCACTCCTGCCTATGTGAACCCGGGACGAGGGCTTTCCGCAGGGACCTGGATGATCAACCAGGCGGTTCATTTCCGCTAATGTGAAGCGCTGCAGGCCCTTCATGGGAGCAGCTTCTCAGGATCCCGGCAAAGTTTCCCAGTGAGGCTGTGGGCACCACGGGCACTCCTGATCCTGAGTCCAAGGGAAGACCGAGCCCAGGAATTCCAAGGAGGCCACTTGTCCGTCCTGATTTCACCCCACAGACAACGAAATGCTTTTTCAGTGCTCTTGAGTAAAGCAAATACTTAACATTTCTCACCGTTCTCCAGTTTTTACCTTTTTAGTGGGTTTTGATGATTTCAGACAGGGTCTCGCGTAGCAAGTTGATCCTGAACTCAAGATCAAGGCTGGCCTTAAGCATCCTTTTTTTTTTTTTTTTTTTTTTTTTGCCACACCCTTTCTCTGTGGCACTAGCCGCTGTCCTGGAACTAGCTCTTGTAGACCAAGCTGGTCTGGAACTCACAGAGATCCTCCTGCCTCTGCCTTCCGAGTGCTGGGATTAAAGGCGTGCACCACCAACGCCCAGCAGGCCTTAAGCTTTCTTTTTCCGCATGCTTTTGAGACAGTCCACTTGAGCGGTCCACTCAAGTCCAGGCTGACTTGGAAGCATCAACTAAACCATTCTGGTTTTGAACTCAAAGGAATGTGCCTGCCTTAGGCTTTTTCTTTCTTTCTTTCTTTCTTTCTTTCTTTCTTTCTTTCTTTCTTTCTTTTTTTTTTTCCTTTTTGGTTTTTCGAGACAGGGTTTCTCTGTGGCTTTGGAGCCTGTCCTGGAACTAGCTCTGTAGATCATGCTGGTCTCGAACTCACAGAGATCCACCAGTCTCTGCCTCCCAAGTGCTGGGATCAAAGGTGTTGCACCACCAACGCCCGACTGCCTCAGCCTTTTAAATGCTGCAGTGACTATATGCGTTGAGTACCACACATCCGGCTAGTCTTGAACTTTTTTTCTTTTTTAAGATTTATTCTTTTAGGTTTTCCTGGCTCTGCGTCCCTAGGGCTGGTATTAAAGGCATAAGGACCACACCCAGCAGGCTTTGAACACTCAACACTCCATTTCGAAGATTTATTCTTTTTTTAGAACCACCTGCCTCTGCCTCACAAATGGTGGGATTAAAGGCGTAGACAGCCTTGCCCAGCAAGAATTATTCTATTTTTAAATTTGTGTGTGTGTGTGTGTGTGTGTGTGTGAGAGAGAGAGAGAGAGAGAGAGAGAGAGAGAGAGAGAGAGAGAGAGAGAGAGAGAGAGAGCTCGTGTGCACATGTGCGCAGGTACCCTGATACAACAGAGGTATCAGATCCTCTTTAAGCTAGAGATAACAGGCTCTTGTGAACTGCTCAGTATGCTTGTTACTGGGAAACGAAACAGCAAGTGCTCTTAATCTTCAAGTCATCTCTCCAGCCCCTAGCCTTGAACAGTGACTGTGACTCTACCTCCCAAGTGCTGAGATTAGGGGAGGTAAGCCATCACTTCCAGTTTATCACCCATCCTTAGTTTATGGAAATAGCACTTGATCACAACTTAACTATGTTCCTAATTTTTCTTTCCTACAATGGGTATTAAAATAGTGCAGGTTTTGGTAAACCTAGTAAGACCTTTCTGCTTAGCATTGAAATTTGATTTAAAGTAATATTGGCTGTACATACTATTCTTATGGCTTAATAAAGTTATATCTGGTGCCAGGTCATCATTGAGAGCATGTTCCTACTGGTGAAGAGTTTTTCTCCACCTCACGCCGACCCCAACCATGTTAAATACTGTATTCACCACTTCACACATTACATCTGCTATAAACAGTAAGGCTTTTCTTGTTTTCTACACAGAAATCTCTGGTTTACCTGACCCTAAGCAACCTCCTGAATCTGGCTGCTATTCAATGAGGACTGTATTTCCATTTCTATTGCCCAATGCCAACTTTAGAGCTCTATTCCTGGTGGCTCTTTGAGTTTTAACTTCCAACCTAACTAGCTGTTCTTATTATAAGTGTTTTTTTTTTAAGTATTGTTAGGAAATATGTAACTCTTGTATGTAAGTGTACCAACAAATGCCAGTCAATGTGATTCTGAACACATTTTATTCATTTTTACCATTGTGCTTGTTCAAGTACATGACTGAGTCAATGGAGAAAAAGGAAATGTGATAGTGTCTTTCCAAAGTTGGGGGCGGGGGTGTGCACACATTTAAAGTCACTGGCTTAAACTCACATAGGCTAGGCCAGCTGTCCAGTGAGTCTGTGCTTCCCTAGTGCCACCATGCTTGTCCCCCTCCCCCAGTGGGTTCTGGACATCAAACTCAAATCCTCACAAGTACTTTACTAAGTTCTCACCCCAGCTCGTCATTGTCTATAAGAGTCAAAGACTTGCTGTGCTGCTGTGCGGTGGTGGAACATGCCTGCCTTTAATCCCAGCACTCAGGAGGCAGAGGCAGATGGATCTCTGTGAGTTGGAGGCCAGCCTGGTCTACAGAGCTAGTTCCAGGACAACTAGGGCTACAGAGAAACTCTGCCTCAAAAAACAAATGAACAAACAAACAAGTCACAGACTTCTTAAGTCAAGGTGAAGGATGATTAAGAAACAATGTCTCTAGGAAACTATTTGCTTTGCAGGGAGAGAACTGGAGGGCAGTTGTGGTTTCAGGGACTCTAGAATGCAGTGGCAGGATTTATTATTTATTATTATTTATTATTTGCTATTTATTGCTCATGACAGGAGCTGGCTATCTATCATCTATTTATTTATTTAGGTTTGTTGAGACAGAGTTTTCTCTGTGTAGCCTTGGCTGTCGTGGAACTTGCTCTGTAGCAGAAGTGGCCTTGAACTCATAGAGAGCCACCTGCCTCTGCCTCCCAAGTGCTGGAATTAAAGGTGTGGGCCTCCACAGACCAGCTGCAACTGCTTCTTGTAAACTACTTCTTTTTGTCCCTTCATATTCATTCTAGTCTTTCTTTATTCTTTTTATTTGTTTCATGTTTTGTTTTTGAAGAGGAAGCAAGATTTTACTAAGAAGTAGAGTAATAGGTACATGGGAAGGGTCTGCAAAGTGGGTTTTCTGTGTTTTGTTTGTTTGTTTGGTTTGTACTTTTTTGTTTTATTTTGGTTTGTTGCAACTGAGTCTCATTATGTAGCCCAGCCTGGCCTGGAACTTGCCTTGTGACCTGGGCTGACTTCAAATTTACAATCTATCAGCCTTAGCCTCCCAAGTGCTGCCTGGAGTTGCAATCATGTGCCAGCACACTTGGCAAACCCATTCCCCCTTCTCCTGACCTTGTACCACATAAGTCTAACCTCCCTAGATGGTAGCAATGTCCAGTCTTGCCCTCCAGTATGTGAACAGTGAAAGGTATGAAGACAGGGAAGTTCACAGCCCTCATTCCTAAAGGTAGATCACCAAAGGTTGTCTGTAGTGCTTTCTCTTTAAAGGGCTCTGTATTCTCACCTTTGTCCCTTTAGGTAGCTGGATAATAGCCACCAGCCCTCAGGGTGCTCTGCTATACTCTGTTGATTTCCCAGAAGATTGTCTATACCTCTGTAAATGGTCCTTTTAACAACTTTAAATTATGAACTTTGAGTATTCATATTACTG